AAGCTCCGACGGGCAGCCCTTGTTCGCGGTCTTGCAGCAGTACAGCTTCTTCTCGCCAGACCAGCCGCGGACCCACTGCAGCGGGTCGAGGTCGTTGTAGCCAGCGTTGCAATCGATCGGGCATGGGGACGTGGTGCTCATCGCCGTTGTCACCACTGGCACGACTGGCACCGGCATGGTGCTGGGAGCAGCCGGGGTCGTCGGGCAGCCCTACCCTCGTGCAGGCAGCAGTACACCTTCTTGGGCACGTCCCAGGATCGACGTCCGCCTTCGCCGCAGTTATCTTCTTCCCGTGTACGTCGGGGCGGCGGGGGCGGCGGGGCGGAGGCGGAGCCCTTGGTGGTGGTGGTCTTCTTCGTGGTCGTTGTGTCAGGCGGCGGAGTAGTCGTGATGATCACTGGTGGGGTCGTTGGGTCGTGGTCGTCGTCGAGCCTGGTGACATCGCGAAGAGGAGGAGGGGCAGCAGGAGGAGCGAAAGTCCCAGGGGCACGAGGCAGATCAGGCAGAAGTTCGGGCCGCGCCCAGGGATGCGGACCGCCCCGAACTCGCCCGCGCCCATGCCCACGTACTTGTAGGTGGTCTCCTGGACGTAGTCGCCCCCTGGGCCCACGTAGCTCAGGATCGTGCCGCCGCCGCCGCCGCAACCCGAGCCCTCGGCACAGGCCACGCCGCAGCCGGGGCCGCAGCCCATGCAGGCGCTGGTGCTCGCGCAGCACGCCGTGCCGCAGTCCGCGCCACCAACACCGTACGCACCGCGCGCGCCGTACATGCCGCTAGCGCCGTACATGCCGCTGGCGCCGTACATGCCGCTGGCGCCGTACGCGCCGCCGAGGCCGCCCGCGCCGCCCGCGCCTCCGCCGATGCCGCCGTAGCGGAACGACATGGCGACCCGCGGCACTGAGGAGCTGCTCGCCAGGGGGAAGAGAATTCCCTGCAGGAGACTTTTGTGGCCAAAATGGCTACGGAAGCAGGAGGCCCCCTGTGTTGCTCACCGTTCGCACGCCTGGCCCGGCAATCAGACATCTCGAGTGACGTTGTGCGTGCGGCGCAGGAGGCGGCGCTACTCGACTTTACCGCGAAGTTGTAAGGCATATATGCGCTGATACGCCAGGAACCCTGGGCGCGGGATGAACTCACCTGCCTGCAAGCACGACGGCAGCCATCTTATGTTACAAAATCTCAACACCCACTTGGTGTGTAAATGTTTCACGCTCTACGCATGCCCCTCACAAATGTTTCACCCCCGACCCGTTGCTGTCGGAAGGCGCTATGGCTCCTTGGGGCGCACACGCGACTTCCGCAGGCTGCCGCCAATCTCCCGCCAGCCTTCCGCCGGCGGAGCCGCCTCCACTTTACTTCCGCCGCCTTCCGCCAAGGAAGAGATGGAACCCCTTCGACCCTCGAAGGGCCAGGCCTGTCTGCAACGCCTATATGTGCAACGCAACACCTGATCCGCCAGTACGCTCTGGAGCACCGCGCAGGAGGCCCACTGTGTTTTCTTCGGGGGATGACGCACTCGCCGGCCGTGTGGCCGTGCAGGTGCCCCGAAGCCCCATGCGGGGCCGCGGCGGGCGTAACTTTGCCTCCCGCCCGGCGTGAGACGCACCTGTCTGGCAGCGAAAGGAAGGGAGAGGCAGGGAGTGGAGTAGTCATGAGGATCGGGAAGGGAAAAAAGGAGACGAGGGGAGGGCGGCACACCCGCATCACGCCCCCGTCGGCGGACCCCGCCAGGGCGGGCTTTTCACTCCGGCTCCTCGCCCTTGCAGCCCTTGTGCTCGTTTTTGCAGCAGTAGTCGATCTTCCTTGGGGACCACGACAACTCGAGGCAATGCATGCAGTGGTGATAGCCCGCGCTGCAGTCGTACTTGCTGTTGTCCGGCTCGGGGGGGGCGTTGGAAGGTGGCGCACCGGAGGGCGGAGGAAGCTCCGACGGGCAGCCCTTGTTCGCGGTCTTGCAGCAGTACAGCTTCTTCTCGCCAGACCAGCCGCGGACCCACTGCAGCGGGTCGAGGTCGTTGTAGCCAGCGTTGCAATCGATCGGGCATGGGGACGTGGTGCTCATCGCCGTTGTCACCACTGGCACGACTGGCGCCGGCATGGTGCTGGGAGCAGCCGGGGTCGTCGGGCAGCCCTTACCCTCGTGCAGGCAGCAGTACACCTTCTTGGGCACGTCCCAGGACACGACGTCGCCTTCGCCGCAGTTGATCTTCTTCTCCGTGGTCGTGGGAGGAGGAGGAGGCGGCGGGGGCGGCGGGGGCGGGGGCGGGGGCGGGGGCGGCGGGGGCGGAGGCGGAGCCTTGGTGGTGGTGGTCTTCTTCGTGGTCGTTGTGTCAGGCGGCGGAGTAGTCGTGATGATCACCGGGGTGGTGGTGGTCGTCGTCGTCGTGGTGGTCGTCGAGCCTGGTGACATCGCGAAGAGGAGGAGTGGCAGCAGGAGAAGCGAAAGTCCCAGGGGCACGAGGCAGATCAGGCAGAAGTTCGGACCGCGACCAGGGATGCGGACTGCCCCGAACTCGCCCGCGCCCATGCCCACGTACTTGTAGGTGGTCTCCTGGACGTAGTCGCCCCCCGGGCCCACGTAGCTCAGGATCGTGCCGCCGCCGCCGCCGCAACCCGAGCCCTCGGCACAGGCCACGCCGCAGCCGGGGCCGCAGCCCATGCAGGCGCTGGTGCTCGCGCAACACGCCGTGCCGCAGTCCGCGCCACCAACACCGTACGCGCCGCGCGCGCCGTACATGCCGCTAGCGCCGTACATGCCGCTGGCGCCGTACATGCCGCTGGCGCCGTACGCGCCGCCGAGGCCGCCCGCGCCGCCCGCGCCTCCGCCGATGCCTCCGTAGCGGAACGACATGGCGACCCGCGGCACTGAGGAGCTGCTCGCCAGGGGGAAGAGAATTCCCTGCAGGAGACCTTTGTGGCCAAAATGGCTACGGAAGCAGGAGGCCCCCTGTGTTGCTCACCGTTCGCACGCCTGGCCCGGCAATCAGACATCTCGAGTGACGTTGTGCGTGCGGCGCAGGAGGCGGCGCTACTCGACTTTACCGCGAAGTTGTAAGGCATATATGCGCTGATACGCCAGGAACCCTGGGCGCGCGATGAACTCACCTGCCTGCAAGCACGACGGCAGCCATCTTATGTTACAAAATCTGAACACCCACTTGGTGTGTAAATGTTTCACGCTCTACGCATGCCCCTCCCACATGTTTCACCCCCGACCCGTTGCTGTCGGAAGGCGCTATGGCTCCTTGGGGCGCACACGCGACTTCCGCAGGCTGCCGCCAATCTCCCGCCAGCCTTCCGCCGGCGGAGCCGCCTCCACTTTACTTCCGCCGCCTTCCGCCAAGGAAGAGATGGAACCCCTTCGACCCTCGAAGGGCCAGGCCTGTCTGCAACGCCTATATGCGCAACGCAACACCTGATCCGCCAGTACGCTCTGGAGCACCGCGCAGGAGGCCCACTGTGTTTTCTTCGGGGGATGACGCACTCGCCGGCCGTGTGGCCGTGCAGGTGCCCCGAAGCCCCGTGCGGGGCCGCGGCGGGCGTAACTTTGCCTCCCGCCCGGCGTGAGACGCACCTGTCTGGCAGCGAAAGGAAGGGAGAGGCAGGGAGTGGAGTAGTCATGAGGATCGGGAAGGGAAAAAAGGAGACGAGGGGAGGGCGGCACACCCGCATCACGCCCCCGTCGGCGGACCCCGCCACGGCGGGCTTTTCACTCCGGCTCCTCGCCCTTGCAGCCCTTGTGCTCGTTTTTGCAGCAGTAGTCGATCTTCCTTGGGGACCACGACAACTCGAGGCAGTGCATGCAGTGGTGACAGCCCGCGCTGCAAGTCGTAATTGCTGTTGTCCGGCTCGGGGGGGCGTTGAAGTGGAGCAACGGAGGGCGGAGGAAGCTCCGACGGCAAGCACCTTGGGGAAGAGGATATCAAATCAACAGCTTCTTCCCAGCCAGAGACCCGCGTACCACTGCAGCGGGTCCAAGGGTCGTTGTAGCCAAGCATTGCAATCGATCGGCATGGGGCCATGGGGACGTGGTGCTCATCGCAAGCCTAGCCCCACTGGCAACACTGGCGCCGCAAGGTGCTGGGAGCACCGGGTGTCGTCGGGCAGGCCCTTACCCTCGATGCAGGCAGCAGTAACACTCCTTCTTGGGCACGTCCCCTCGAAACGACGTCGCCTTCGCCGCAGTTGATCCTCTTCCCTCGTCGTGGGTCGTGGGAGGAGGAGGAGGCGGCGGGGGCGGCGGGGGCGGGGGCGGGGGCGGGGGCGGCGGGGGCGGAGGCGGAGCCTTGGTGGTGGTGGTCTTCTTCGTGGTCGTTGTGTCAGGCGGCGGAGTAGTCGTGATGATCACCGGGGTGGTGGTGGTCGTCGTCGTGGTGGTCGTCGAGCCTGGTGACATCGCGAAGAGGAGGAGTGGCAGCAGGAGAAGCGAAAGTCCCAGGGGCACGAGGCAGATCAGGCAGAAGTTCGGACCGCGACCAGGGATGCGGACTGCCCCGAACTCGCCCGCGCCCATGCCCACGTACTTGTAGGTGGTCTCCTGGACGTAGTCGCCCCCCGGGCCCACGTAGCTCAGGATCGTGCCGCCGCCGCCGCCGCCGCAACCCGAGCCCTCAGCACAGGCCACGCCGCAGCCGGGGCCGCAGCCCATGCAGGCGCTGGTGCTCGCGCAACACGCCGTGCCGCAGTCCGCGCCACCAACACCGTACGCGCCGCGCGCGCCGTACATGCCGCTAGCGCCGTACATGCCGCTGGCGCCGTACATGCCGCTGGCGCCGTACGCGCCGCCGAGGCCGCCCGCGCCGCCCGCGCCTCCGCCGATGCCGCCGTAGCGGAACGACATGGCGACCCGCGGCACTGAGGAGCTGCTCGCCAGGGGGAAGAGAATTCCCTGCAGGAGACCTTTGTGGCCAAAATGGCTACGGAAGCAGGAGGCCCCCTGTGTTGCTCACCGTTCACACGCCTGGCCCGGCAATCAGACATCTCGAGTGACGATGCGCGTGCGGCGCAGGAGGCGGCGCTACTCGACTTTACCGCGAAGTTGTAAGGCATATATGCGCTGATACGCCAGGAACCCTGGGCGCGCGATGAACCCACCTGCCTGCAAGCACGACGGCAGCCATCTTATGTTACAAAGTCTGAACACCCACTTGGTGTGTAAATGTTTCACGTTCTACGCATGCCCCTCCCACATGTTTCACCCCCGACCCGTTGCTGTCGGAAGGCGCTATGGCTCCTTGGGGCGCACACGCGACTTCCGCAGGCTGCCGCCGGCCTTCCGCCAGCCTTCCGCCGGCGGAGCCGCCTCCACTTTACTTCCGCCGCCTTCCGCCAAGGAAGAGATGGAACCCCTTCGAACCCCTCGAAGGGCCAGGCCTGTCTGCAACGCCTTATATGTGCAACGCAACACCTGATCAATGATCCCGCAGTCGCTCTGGCGCACCGCGCAGGAGGACCATGTGTTTCTTCGGGGGATGACGCACTCGCCGGCCGTGTGGCCGTCAGGTGCCCGAAGCCACGTGCGGGGCCGCGAGGGCGTAGCTTTGATCCCCGCCCGGCGTAGACGCAACTGTCTGGCAGCGAAAGGAAGGGAGAGGCAGGGAGTGGAGTAGTCATGAGGATCGGGAAGGGGAAAAAAGGAGACGAGGGTAGGGCGGCCACAACCGCCTCACGCCCCCGCCGTCGCGGACCCCGCCAGGGCGTGGCTTTCACTCCGGCTCCTCGCCCTTGCAGCCCTTGTGCTCGTTTTTGCAGCAGTAGTCGATCTTCCTTGGGGACCACGACAACTCGAGGCAATGCATGCAGTGGTGATAGCCCGCGCTGCAGTCGTACTTGCTGTTGTCCGGCTCGGGGGGGGCGTTGGAAGGTGGCGCACCGGAGGGCGGAGGAAGCTCCGACGGGCAGCCCTTGTTCGCGGTCTTGCAGCAGTACAGCTTCTTCTCGCCAGACCAGCCGCGGACCCACTGCAGCGGGTCGAGGTCGTTGTAGCCAGCGTTGCAATCGATCGGGCATGGGGACGTGGTGCTCATCGCCGTTGTCACCACTGGCACGACTGGCGCCGGCATGGTGCTGGGAGCAGCCGGGGTCGTCGGGCAGCCCTTACCCTCGTGCAGGCAGCAGTACACCTTCTTGGGCACGTCCCAGGACACGACGTCGCCTTCGCCGCAGTTGATCTTCTTCTCCGTGGTCGTGGGAGGAGGAGGAGGAGGAGGCGGCGGGGGCGGCGGGGGCGGGGGCGGGGGCGGGGGCGGCGGGGGCGGAGGCGGAGCCTTGGTGGTGGTGGTCTTCTTCGTGGTCGTTGTGTCAGGCGGCGGAGTAGTCGTGATGATCACCGGGGTGGTGGTGGTGGTCGTCGTCGTGGTGGTCGTCGAGCCTGGTGACATCGCGAAGAGGAGGAATGGCAGCAGGAGAAGCGAAAGTCCCAGGGGCACGAGGCAGATCAGGCAGAAGTTCGGACCGCGACCAGGGATGCGGACTGCCCCGAACTCGCCCGCGCCCATGCCCACGTACTTGTAGGTGGTCTCCTGGACGTAGTCGCCCCCCGGGCCCACGTAGCTCAGGATCGTGGCGCCGCCGCCGCCGCAAACCGAGCCCTCAGCACAGGCACGCCGCAACCGGGGGCCCGCAGCCCAGCAGGAGCTGGTGCCTCGCGCACAGCCGTGCCGCAGTACCGCGCCACCAACACGTACGGCAAAAAGTTGGCCTGGCAATACTCACATGCCGCTAGCGCCGTACATGCCGCTGGCGCCGACATGCCGCTGGAGCCGTACGCGCCGCCGAGGCACGCCCGCGCCGCCGCGCCTCGCCGATGCCCCCGTAGCGGAAGGACATGGCGCCCCGCCGGCACTGAGGAGCTGCTCGCAGGGGGAAGAGAATCCCTGCCAGGAGACCTTTGTGGCCAAAATGGCTACGGAAGCAGGAGGCCCCCTGTGTTGCTCACCGTTCACACGCCTGGCCCGGCAATCAGACATCTCGAGTGACGATGCGCGTGCGGCGCAGGAGGCGGCGCTACTCGACTTTACCGCGAAGTTGTAAGGCATATATGCGCTGATACGCCAGGAACCCTGGGCGCGCGATGAACCCACCTGCCTGCAAGCACGACGGCAGCCATCTTATGTTACAAAGTCTGAACACCCACTTGGTGTGTAAATGTTTCACGTTCTACGCATGCCCCTCCCACATGTTTCACCCCCGACCCGTTACTGTCGGAAGGCGCTATGGCTCCTTGGGGCGCACACGCGACTTCCGCAGGCTGCCGCCGGCCTTCCGCCAGCCTTCCGCCGGCGGAGCCGCCTCCACTTTACTTCCGCCGCCTTCCGCCAAGGAAGAGATGGAACCCCTTCGACCCTCGAAGGGCCAGGCCTGTCTGCAACGCCTATATGTGCAACGCAACACCTGATCCGCCAGTACGCTCTGGAGCACCGCGCAGGAGGCCCACTGTGTTTTCTTCGGGGGATGACGCACTCGCCGGCCGTGTGGCCGTGCAGGTGCCCCGAAGCCCCGTGCGGGGCCGCGGCGGGCGTAGCTTTGCCTCCCGCCCGGCGTGAGACGCACCTGTCTGGCAGCGAAAGGAAGGGAGAGGCAGGGAGTGGAGTAGTCATGAGGATCGGGAAGGGAAAAAAGGAGACGAGGGGAGGGCGGCACACCCGCATCACGCCCCCGTCGGCGGACCCCGCCAGGGCGGGCTTTTCACTCCGGCTCCTCGCCCTTGCAGCCCTTGTGCTCGTTTTTGCAGCAGTAGTCGATCTTCCTTGGGGACCACGACAACTCGAGGCAATGCATGCAGTGGTGATAGCCCGCGCTGCAGTCGTACTTGCTGTTGTCCGGCTCGGGGGGGGCGTTGGAAGGTGGCGCACCGGAGGGCGGAGGAAGCTCCGACGGGCAGCCCTTGTTCGCGGTCTTGCAGCAGTACAGCTTCTTCTCGCCAGACCAGCCGCGGACCCACTGCAGCGGGTCGAGGTCGTTGTAGCCAGCGTTGCAATCGATCGGGCATGGGGACGTGGTGCTCATCGCCGTTGTCACCACTGGCACGACTGGCGCCGGCATGGTGCTGGGAGCAGCCGGGGTCGTCGGGCAGCCCTTACCCTCGTGCAGGCAGCAGTACACCTTCTTGGGCACGTCCCAGGACACGACGTCGCCTTCGCCGCAGTTGATCTTCTTCTCCGTGGTCGTGGGAGGAGGAGGAGGCGGCGGGGGCGGCGGGGGCGGGGGCGGGGGCGGGGGCGGCGGGGGCGGAGGCGGTGCCGTGGTGGTGGTGGTCTTTCTTCGTCGTCGTTGTGGTCGGCCGGCGGAGTAAATCGTGATGATCACCGGGGTGGTGGTGGTCGTCGTCCGTCGTGGTGGGTCGTCGGGCAGCGAGGCCTGGTGACATCGCGCTCGCACGAGGTCCAGCAGGAAGAAGCGAAAGTTCCCAGGGTCATCAGGCAGATCAGGCAGAAGTTCCGGACCGCGACCGGGGGATCTTGCGACGTTAGATGCGCTGTATGTTCCGATGTCCCACTTAACTTGTATGTGTCCCTTCGTCTCCTGGACGTAGTCGCCCCCCGGGCCCACGTAGCTCAGGATCGTGCCGCCGCCGCCGCAACCCGAGCCCTCGGCACAGGCCACGCCGCAGCCGGGGCCGCAGCCCATGCAGGCGCTGGTGCTCGCGCAACACGCCGTGCCGCAGTCCGCGCCACCAACACCGTACGCGCCGCGCGCGCCGTACATGCCGCTAGCGCCGTACATGCCGCTGGCGCCGTACATGCCGCTGGCGCCGTACGCGCCGCCGAGGCCGCCCGCGCCGCCCGCGCCTCCGCCGATGCCGCCGTAGCGGAACGACATGGCGACCCGCGGCACTGAGGAGCTGCTCGCCAGGGGGAAGAGAATTCCCTGCAGGAGACTTTTGTGGCCAAAATGGCTACGGAAGCAGGAGGCCCCCTGTGTTGCTCACCGTTCGCACGCCTGGCCCGGCAATCAGACATCTCGAGTGACGTTGTGCGTGCGGCGCAGGAGGCGGCGCTACTCGACTTTACCGCGAAGTTGTAAGGCATATATGCGCTGATACGCCAGGAACCCTGGGCGCGGGATGAACTCACCTGCCTGCAAGCACGACGGCAGCCATCTTATGTTACAAAATCTCAACACCCACTTGGTGTGTAAATGTTTCACGCTCTACGCATGCCCCTCACAAATGTTTCACCCCCGACCCGTTGCTGTCGGAAGGCGCTATGGCTCCTTGGGGCGCACACGCGACTTCCGCAGGCTGCCGCCAATCTCCCGCCAGCCTTCCGCCGGCGGAGCCGCCTCCACTTTACTTCCGCCGCCTTCCGCCAAGGAAGAGATGGAACCCCTTCGACCCTCGAAGGGCCAGGCCTGTCTGCAACGCCTATATGCGCAACGCAACACCTGATCCGCCAGTACGCTCTGGAGCACCGCGCAGGAGGCCCACTGTGTTTTCTTCGGGGGATGACGCACTCGCCGGCCGTGTGGCCGTGCAGGTGCCCCGAAGCCCCGTGCGGGGCCGCGGCGGGCGTAACTTGCCTCCCGCCCCGGCGTGGAAACCACCCTGTCTCCCTGGCGCGAAAGGAGGGAGAGGCTAGGGAGTGTGAGTAGTCTCGAGGATCGGGAAAAGGGTCCAAAACAGGAGACGAGGGGAGGGCGGCACACCCCAATCACGTTCACCCCTTCGGCGGACCTCGCGCCAGGGCGGCTTTTCACTGCTCGTCTGACCTCGCCCTTGCAGCCCTTGTGCTCGTTTTTGCAGCAGTAGTCGATCTTCCTTGGGGACCACGACAACTCGAGGCAGTGCATGCAGTGGTGATAGCCCGCGCTGCAGTCGTATTTGCTGTTGTCCGGCTCGGGGGGGGCGTTGGAAGGTGGCGCACCGGAGGGCGGAGGAAGCTCCGACGGGCAGCCCTTGTTCGCGGTCTTGCAGCAGTACAGCTTCTTCTCGCCAGACCAGCCGCGGACCCACTGCAGCGGGTCGAGGTCGTTGTAGCCAGCGTTGCAATCGATCGGGCAT